AATATTGAAAATGTTATATATATATATATATATATATATAATTTCCAATATAATTTTTTTTATCTAGTATATTTAAAATATATTTTTCATATAATTTTACATTGTATTTGTAATATTTTGTATTGCATTTCTTTAGTAATTGAGGTTCATTCAGTTAGTTGAGGTGTAGTGACGTCATTATGGAATCAGTAAGGGCATTTTATCTTAATCCGATTAGATTATCTATAATTATTGATTATCTTAATAATGCAGGAGTGATAGAGTGGCTGAAATCCGTAACAAGTGTGATATCTCATGCGATCTACTTGTTAAGAGAGTGTGAGAGCTGGAAGAAAGAGGCTCCCTGGCGGGGGTTTGAGGGGGCAATAACGCTTGCTTGATTAAACAGCAATGGTCTTGCATACTGTCAGACAGATGGACGGGGCAGTTTAAAACGCGTCTCTCGCGACTGGGGAGCGAATGACGCGGTGGTTTCTGTAGGTGGCGGTGAAATAATGTTTGCGCCCGGCTCTCTGACTGAGGTCAGGGGGCAAAGCGAGGAGCAGAGCACATAAATCGACAGCTGTATGCTAATCATGTGAATACTGAGCGGTAGAAGCGTGATGCTCGAGCCCGCTGGTGGCATTCGCCTTTCGCTCGCGCTCGAGTGAGGAAGTGCGCACGAGATCAATGAAGCGCGTGCCTTTGACTTTGATGTGAGATGACTTCACTGTTTGCTTGTTTCTCTGTTATTACTGATGCTTCTGGATAAACATTGTTTTAAAGATGAAGATATTCGGGAGGTTGAAGTGTACTTTGGTGAGTTTGAATACTTTTTTGTGTGTGTTTTAAGTTAACGCAAACTATCTCCAGATGTTATTTGTTACATGTACTGCATATAATTTAACATGTATTTCTTCAGTGACCTTTAGTGAGTGTTTATTTAGTATTTTACTTATTGATATTATTGCTAGTACAATATTTATTTCGTGTAGAGGTCTTCAGACTTTTTCAGGCCAAGAATCCCTTAGTGGATAGAGAGATGGAGTAGGGACTCCTGTTAAATATAGCCAAGCCTACTATAATCATTGCATTTTAAATGTGACCTGTAAAACACTTTTATAGTACCATATTAAATATGTACTAAATACAATAAATAGCTACACACATTTTGTGTATTTGCATACTTTATGATGCTTACATTGCAAAGACATTTAAATCATCATTATTGATGTATTCTGAGTCATATGCATTACATTTTTTTTTTTTTTACTGAATACATTTACTTTTTATTTGCTTTTTTAAATAAAATATTTATCTGTAAAAGTATATGCATATTGTATTGGTAAAACAACATACATTTAATTTGATATAAATAAAATTAATTAAAAATAATCAATTGTAAATTAAGTTGAAAATGTCTTTTAAAAGGTATAATTGTTACCGTATATGATAAGGTATTTTATTTAAAGGGATAGTTCACCTTCAGTTGCTGGTCCCAATTGACCTCCATAGTATGTATAAAAAACACACACACACACACACAATGGAAGTCAATGGGGACCAGCAACTGAAGGTGAACTATCCCCTTAAGGTTTTTATTGTAGCATTTTTTATACTTTTTTTTTTTCCTGTTAATACAATAAATACTAATATAATTTTTGTTGAGCTTGCTCAGAATTTTGGAACTGAGTGGCCTCTTTTCATTTTTTTCTTTCATATAATTTTGATGATGAATGATCTTGAAATATGATTCAGTGAGTTGTATTTGTTGTTTCTGCGTGTGTTTGTGGCCAGAGCACAAAACTCGAAACAGCCGTTGGAATATCAGTGTCATTGATGTTGGAGGAGAATGAATCATTCCGCTTTTAGATCTCGGCACAGTTGGGATATAGATGGAGCAATACTTGTGACGGGAGACGTTTTAAGAGGCTGCCGGTCATTATTGATTGAAATGAGAGGGATTGGTTTGGCTGCTGTGGTCATGAGGATTATGTTTTGACTGATAGGGATTAAGTTTAGTCTTTTGTCTGTCTCGCAGAAGACTTAACAGAACAATAAGCATCCTCAGTACTGACTGATAAGCGCGAGAGACAAGAGTCCTGTTATTGTGTGTGCTAGTGACCTGCGTGAATAGAGCTTCTCTGTTTTTTGCATGACAGGATTTTGCATACGATGACTCCAAAGTGGAATTCAATGTTGATGCTCCTAATGGTGTCGTGATGGAGGGATACCTGTTCAAGAGGGCGAGCAATGCTTTCAAGACATGGAACAGGTACGAACAGGCTCGACTGTCCGTGTGTCTTTCCTTTTGTGGAGAAAATCTGATATCGAGTTTGTTTTCTTCTCCTACCAGGCGATGGTTTTCAATACAGAACAGTCAGTTAGTGTATCAGAAGCGACTAAAAGTAGGTGGTTCAACTTTGCTGATTCAGATATTAACTTGTTTTTACTCCTTTCAAGCCCTACAAATGATTATTGTGACCTGACGTTGTAATCTGCTGTGTGTTGTAGGATGCTTTGACTGTGGTTGTGGAGGACCTGCGGCTTTGCTCTGTGAAACCATGTGAGGACATCGAGAGAAGGTTCTGTTTTGAAGTGGTGTCACCTACAAAGTGAGTACTGTGTCACATGTGCTGTGTGTTTGTGTTGGGTATGTACAGTATCTAATATCAGATCAACCCCTATCAGGAGCTGTATGCTACAGGCTGAATCTGAGAAGCTCCGTCAAGCTTGGATTCAAGCAGTTCAGGCAAGCATTGCGTCTGCCTACAGGGAGATTTCTGATAACTATTATATTGAGGTCAGTCCAACTACTCTGTCACATTAATACATGGAATTAGACATCAATATGTAATGTGAAGTTGACATTTTACTAGCTAAACTAACTTTTATTTTAAGAGGCTTATTGGCCTTGACGCACATTCATGAGGATCTCAGGGGGTCCTTTCTATGATATCGTTTCCTGTTTTTTTTCCCTCTGTCGGTTGCACCACATGACAGGACTTTTTTTTATATATATATAAGCTGTGAAGCACTTTATACCCCTCTAAAATACATATCTTAATTGTTCTCCAGAAAGTTTTTTGAAAGCTTTTTTTTTTTTTTACATAAATGTAATAAATTAATAGTTCATAAATATCTTTACTTTTGGGGGGATTCACACCACATGACATTTTACAATCTGAACTAACCCTGCAATAATAAAAAAAACTAATTATTTTAAGAGGCTTACTGGTTTTTACACACAGTCATGATATCATTTCCTGATTTCTGAGTTATTTTTACTGTATGTTGGTCGCACCACATGACAGGACAGTGTTTATATTTATTTATTTTTAATACTAGTAACTTTTTTGTATATATAAAAAAAATATATGAATAGTAATTCACACACTTGAAAAAATTGTCGTCATATAAGAGGTGCATTCATGTCTTTTTATGTATGAATGGCATTTTTAATGTGTTTTTAAATAAACTAATACATTTGGGCACAAAAATGAGTGTCATTCCATTGACCCGATTACATAGATTGCTTTTGACACCGTTTGAATAAAGTTAAGAGCATAAACTCTTGATTCTACAGCGTTTGGACAGGACAGCGTCTCCCTCCACGAGCAGTATCGACTCTGCCAGCGAGCCGCGGGAGCGTATTGTTAAGGGAGAGAGTATCCTACAGCGGGTCCAGTCTCTGCCAGGAAACGAGATCTGCTGCGACTGTGGCCAGGCCGACCCTCGCTGGGCCAGCATCAACCTCGGCAATCTGCTCTGCATCGAATGCTCTAGCATTCACAGGTGAGAG